GAGGACTTTCATGCCGTCGCTTTTTCTCGCCCCCGACGCCCGGAACTATCAATTCCGATTCTCTTTCTCCCTCCTGCTCCTCCGCCTTGGTGTTTGTTACTTTTTTTCACGGGCTCCGCGTTCACCTCAATTAGAGAACGGTACTTTTGAGCGGGTCAATGCGTCCGTTCGAGATCAGCGAGCGTGCCTAGAAACAAAGGGGGCCGGGTTTCACGCTTTTGCGCCAATGTTTCCGGAATAACGTCCGTAGCACGTGCATTAACTTTTTACCCATCGGCTGGACGCGAATCCAAGAACGCGTTCCGGAACTCACCGCCGGCCCTTAACCGCGCACGAACTCCAGCAACTTGGGGAAGGCGACTCGAGGTAGAATTTTCCTCTCCGTCGATAATGCGGGCACGTGTTTCGCGTCGGTGTTGGAAATTTAGCAGTGGCCCGAAGACTCAAACGAGGCTCGGCAAGGCTGCGAACAATGGGAATGTGCGCTCTCCCCGGTTACTCTTCGGTAAACGGGACTCCCGAATTTTTCAGGAGACTCGGTCGCGAGGGGCTGTTATTCGCGATATTGCAAAATTGAAAAGAAAGGATCAACCAAATATTTGCCGAGGAAGATGGACTCGAAACGGCCCGGCAAGTGGCGGGCGGGGGGACGAAACGTGAGATTCTGTTTGCCTCTCTCCGGCCCCGTCCGCGCTTCAATACGCGGGGGAGGGGGGGGGGCCTATCACGGCCGGAGCTATTACAGCCGGGAAGGAACGCGAGAGCTGCGCTTGCCATTTTAAGAAATTGGAACGCGTCGGCATTTCGTCCCGCGAGTGTTTAAACGCTTTACGGTCGCTTTTACGAACTACGCTTAAACTCGGACGTTATAACTTAACCGATCGCTTGTCTTTTTCTGAAACTAGTACAACTGGAAAGAGCGAGCGAGAAAGAGAAAGGGAAAAAGAGAGAGGGAGAAAGAGACGAGGAGGGGGACGAGGAATCCATAAAACAGCGATTAAAGTTAACGAACTAGCGGGAGCGGCTTTTAATGGGTTAACGATCGTCGCTAAAAGTATTTCGCCTTAATTACGCCGGCCCGCTGGCAGTGATGGTGGTGTCGCCGTTGCAACCAGCGTGCGTTGCTAGATAGGTGGTTAGCATCGTCAGGCGAGATGCCTGCACTGCTCGGCCGCGTAAAAACAGATCGCCCAGTCCGATGGCAGCGAATGAATCGAACGCGGAGCGTGAACAGCGCCCGGGGGGAGCGATCGGACAAGTGGTTAATAATCGTAATCGAGTGGAAACGCGGGCCATCGGCACGCCGAAACGGCCGAGCTCGTCTATCCTCCCCCACGTGTTCATTATCTTTGTGAGCAAACGCAGCCTTTACGGTCAAGGGATACGCGCGTACCGGGCCGATGCGGCTTAAACGGATTAACGTGGCTTCACTCGCGTGACAGTGTACGTTATTGGGCGCATTTACCGGCCACGTTATTGGACGTCTCTTGCTATTGAGGTTCGCGCGCGTGCAGCGCGGCGCGCTTATCTAGATAAAGAATAGCGCGCTGCGACCCCGCCCGCATGGGATTCCCGTTAAGGAAGCATTAAGCGATTCCCAGCGGGTCGCGTCGGAAGTGATCTCTCGCTTCCGCAATTATGCAGCGGCGCAATTATGCCCCCGGTACCATTATCAATCCGCCGCTCTCCGCTACATAGCGTCGGAGTACTTAGCTCGGGGCTCGCCTCCGATTAGCCTCACGACGCCGCCCACGTCTTCGATTCTTAACATCGCGATTGCGATCGAGCGCGAAAGTAACTTACGACGATACACATTTACCATGTACAAAGACGCCTTGTATTATATTATTGTTATTGTTATTTTGTATCGTCAAAAGTTATTTAACGCTAAACCGAAGGTACACGGGTGCAAGTGCTGTTGAATCCGTAGGATTTCCAGCAGCGTGCGTAATTGGAGCAAATCTTTTTTTAATTCAATAGCGATATCGTTGGGAGTGATACTTGAGTTACTGAAACAATATGCGGTGTGTTATTTTCAATGATAATGTTACCGAGTCAAGACGATTTACTCCAATTATGCGCATACGCTGGCGATTCTATTGATCCAACAGCATTTCTGAAAAAAAAGCTCGTTAGTAAAAGAAGAATTTCTCTTTTCAAGAATATTATAAAACTTTATCGAAGAAAGGTTAAATTAGGTCAATTCAAACGAACTCGATTTTCCTTTTAACTTAATATTCCCGATCGAAGTGCTAGATTTGCCGGGATTCAGAATATATTTTGAACAAGTCCGATGCTTGTGATGAGAATCCGTGATATATATTTTCCTATGTATAAAACTTATGAAATACTTAAAATCAGCAATGTTTATTCGTGCGCGGTATGTACTTGTAATCGTCAATTCTTGGCGATGATAGAATGGAATACTGGCCTTTTAACCGAGTTCGAATCGACTGCCGAGATTCAACTGACCACGGTATATAATTTTTCGCGCATTGAAACGCGACTGAAGGGAAAGCTATTCTGCAGTAATTTCACGATCTTGCTCGTTAACGAAAGGGTTAATAGACACAGAGTTGCGCACGAGTTGTGCACGAGAGGGTTGCAATTAGGACGGGCAGGAATATCGCGCGTAACCCGTCTCGCCGACAAATCCTCGACATTGGGAGGCTCCGTGCCGGGCGCTTGTAATCGTCGACGAGATATCCTAGTCGGTAGGTTCTGCGCGGCCGCGTGGCGGAGCACGCGAATGTAGGTTAGAATGCGGTAGGGTAACCAAGCCACGAGCAGCGAGCACAAGCAGGCGGGCAGACAAGCGAGCAAGCAGCTGACACGGCGGAATCAATATTCTCACGTGCACGCGTATACACGGTGTACGCACAGGCCAACCCGCGATTGCAAACGATATGCATAGAGAGAGGGAGAGAGAGCGAGTGACTGGGAAAGGTGGCGATCATTAACGGGAATGTATCGCCGATCGCGCGGAATCGTGACGACAGGGAATGGCGGACGCGACGTCCGTGGTATTTATTATCGACATAACGAGTTACGTCTCGTTCTTCGACGATTACGCGACGGATGTGAAATACTCGAAGTTTTGACACTGCCTCGACGTGCTCGCGCGTGTGTGCGTATGCGTGCACGGAGAGAACAACTCCGCTGGTGTGACTGAATTCTCTGCTGCCTGGGGACCAGACGAAAACTCGGCCGCAGGAAGGAAGATTCCTGTTGGAGGTTTTTACCTGAGCTCCTGTTCTTGAAGTGGTTGTGTATATATGTGTTTTTGCACGGTTACAATTGCATCGTTAAATAGCTGCGCAACGACTCTTATACGTATACGTAATCGTTTAAAAAATAGGGGCCCTGAGTCGCGAAATTTTCACGCCCTCGAGGACAATTTGCGTCCATTCAGACAGACTCGACAGTGAAAACTCGCTTCGGCGATATTGCACTCAACGTTTCCCTTGAATCTATAATCCTGCGGATTTAATTTTCACGCCACCTTGAAGTAATAAATGCGATATATTTGGTTTGCTAAATTCGAGTATTCGAAAGAACGTATTTTGACGCTGAAAACGACGAAAGCGGAAAATTGAGACACCATCGTTGCGCGGATGAAAAATTTTATGTGAAGAACGGTCCACGGTTATTATACAAAGGAACGTCGTCGCGCGGCGTTAATCCCGGCGGTCGGCTCGACGAAGTTGGCGACTTCGCCTTAACGAAAGTTAAGCGCCAGGGTAGTTGCCTCGGTTTGCTATTCGAGATAAAAGAAGTTCGCGGCGAGAGTTTAGCGAGAGCGGCTCTTCGGGGAGACGACGAATCGGCTCGCCGCTGTTGTTACGCATCTTCCCAAAACAACGAACGTTTTCCGAAACAATGGCGGGAGGGAGGGGGGGAATAAGTATCGCAGCGTGCGATACTTGAAGGGAGATACGGCGCGAGCGGAAGCGCGAAGGGAATCCTATTTACTTGGCGATAAACGATTTTTCAATTCTCCAACGGGAGAGAAACTCGGCCGCTTCGCACGCTCGCCGAAATACGGCGGACCGCCGACCACACCGTTCGTCGAGTGTAGCGCGGCGACGAGATAAGGAACACCGCAAACTTTTCACGCCCTGCTTTCGGGTAAGCAGATAAAGTCGAAACTATCGTGTCCTTCATGGTAGCCGCGCTCTGGAATTAAAACTCCCGTGCGATGCGTCGGTCCCGCTCGCGAACGGGACCGATACGCAAGCCAAGAGAGAGGGAGGAGGGGAGGAAAGGAGAAGGTTGCGCAATATTCATCTCTCGCGATCGCGTTTTTCGATACACCCTCCTGCGAATCAACGACGTTGATTCGCTATCCGTTACCTCCGCAACGCGGCGCAGTACATTCACCTGTGCTATCTAACACCACCGCCCGCCTATCGAAGTAACCGCGCGTCTTTCGCTACGAAAACGACTGATCGATAAATTTCCTCGGCGCACACCCACTCGGGATCCGGCGTCGCACGGAGTCGCTAATTTTTCGAAAGCGCGACGGACCCTTCACGTTTGACCCCCTTCGACTCGTTAACGGTGTAATATCCGCTTATCTCGTTCTCGCGCATTCGGCTCTCCGCGATAAATCACGCCGATCGGCCGCGGTGTGCCGGATCTGCGCGCGCTTACTTTCAAATCTCGGGCCACCGGCGCGAAAGAGAGACCAAGGGAGAAAAAGAGAGGGGGGGGAGAGGGGGAGCACGCGCACAGAACTCGCCTTGACGGAAGAAAGCGAGCGGCTTCGGCTGGCGACGCGCCTGGATGCGTTATCGGCGCTCTCGCGGTCGCTCGAAGCCGCGCGGCGATAGGTGTCCTTCGCCGGCCATTGGTACCCCTCCGCTATTGGACCGTGACCCGGCGAGGTGGGAGGAGCAGGGCGCGTAGCGATTGGTGGCGCGCGTCGGCGCCGACGGAAGCGGTCGCGAGAGGGTCGCTCGCTCGCTCGCGATCCCGCATCGGCGCTCAGACGGTTCGGGACTGTGCAGCGTGTCGTTTCGCTCGTTGCCTGGCGCGTCTTCGACGATCCCCCTTCGATCGCGGCCCCGTGCGCTTCGGCGAGCGAGCGATCGATCGATCTCTCGCGCGGGTACGTCACGCGTTGAAGTTCGACGAACGGCGCCGGTCGGTCAGCTGTGGGGAATCCGGAGCGCGCGCCCTCGGCAGCGCGAGACACGTGACCGACTGTGTGCGCGGCGGCGGCGGAAGTTTCCGTGTGTCCCACTCGCGGTGGCGCGAGAGGGAGAGAAAGAGAGTGAGAAGAAGGGAAAGAGAAAGACGCGCGCGCGCTCTCGGGCCGGCCGCCCGATCAGGTGACGAGTCCGTCGCGGGGTGCGACCTCCCTCCCCGTGGTCGCCGAAGGAACTGGAGTAGTCGGCGTTCGGCATCCGCGCGGTCCGCTCCTACGCGCGCGCGCGCGTCGCGAGCTTTGTTACGAGGCGAAGAGTGAGAGAGGGACACACACACGTGTCGGATTCGCGATAAGCGTTCTCGTTATCAATCGTCGATCGAACCGAAGTGATCGCGACAGGTGAGGCGACTTTCGGTTATCGAACGGAAGGAAAGAACGCTCCGTCTCTACTTGGCCGTCCGTCTATCTGGTTGTGCGTGTGGGTGCGCGCGCTCGTGTGGAGAGGGAGAGTGAAGAGCAACAGCGACTCGAGTGAGTCGGTCGCGGTGCACCGCGAGTTATTCCGACGCGAGAGTGCCATCCGACACTGAGACTGTGCAGCGGGGAGACGGAGATCGCTAAAATTGGATACCTTCGCTGCGCGGCTGACCGCGCGCTCGTGCCGAACCGGACGATGCGCCTCGGCGTGAGATCGCTTCGTGGACGATAACGAAGGTACGCGAGTCTCTCCGGCGCTGCTTCTTTAATTCTACAGTGCTCGCGCGGGTGACAGGTGTCATCCGTGCGCCGCACGGAGGCAAATTTTTTGCCGGCGCGGCAAATCGTTCGTTACTACGGTGACGGCGGGAATATTTGTTTGGACAGCGAAAGGATTTGTTGAGAATATTCATTGCTATCTGCTGGATACACGGACGGCAATTTGGCTGTGTCAATTAAATTTTATTGCTGTCTTTTGCTACAACGGTAAAATTCGATATCTTCCGTGTTATAAATCTCTTTGTTTTCTCTATAATGGCTGGCGACTCGCTGTGCGAGCAAGGAATTTTTCTCCGTGCGATGTTTACAGCTAGATCTTATAGTTAAGACAGTCTTAAGTTCATTCTCGGGTGAAACTTTGTAGCCGTAGCACAGCATCTGAAGATGAATTTTAAGACGGTCGTTAGACGCTCGAATTGTTGTTCGCGTACAGTAAACTCTTCGTAATTTATTGCCCGCGCAAGTTATTGGCTCGTTACGTTAAAGCTGTCAGCACGTTGCCAAAACCATTTCCGTGCGATATTCTTCTGACCTTTTCGGCCATTTCTCATTGACACTCCTGTGGTCGTGATCCTAAAGCTGAAAGCCGCAAAGAGAGTCTCTGCCAAAAAGTTAGAAATGTGCTTCCACATATCAGGCGTTGAGTCGCTCATTACTCGAAATTGTAATAAGTACAGCTGTTAAAGAAATGATAAATTGCTGAAACAAAAATTGGAAGCAAAATTCAATTCATGTGAGAATAGAATTTAATATTTCTCTTATAAATGATTCACGTGTCACACATGCATATATGTATATTGGTATATAGGTTATACAGAGTATATATATATATGTAGTATACAGTATATACACAGAGATTTATACATATCTATAAATTTATCGCATAAATCTTTTATATGTGTAACATTTGACGTCGCAACAGCTGCAGCCGGAAGAATTTTACCTCACGTGACACTTATCTCAAGCTAACAATCAAGCAGCGATTTTGGGTGAAAAAATCACGAAGCGCTGCGTGAGCGGTCGCGAATGTGCTGAGAGGCGCAAAAATTCTGTGGTAACGATAGCCGCGCGATATCGTTCTCGCGTGGCTCTATTATAGAAAGATACGGTTTATATCATTAAGCCCACTTCAGCCGACGGCTTGACGCGCGCGCACATGTGTGTGTGTGTAAGAGAGAGAGAGAGAGAGAGCATTTGCTGATGCGACTGGCGTACATTGTGCGAGCCGGCTCTGCATAATGACGGCTTGCTCTTAAGTGACATAAGATATTCCGTTTACCGGGCCGGGATAGAAAAGAACTGACGCTAATACCATACGTCAAAGTGTCGAACGGGGGCTAAACTGTATCTATATCCACCGCGTCCGTTATGCGCGCGAGTCCCCGTGTATCCGCGCATATCTATATTTACAACGCCGTAGATCCTCGCCGGCTAGATCGGATTCGTAGATACCGCGCTCGCGTATTTCTCCGTTACGCGAGCCACATTTCAGCGTGCGGATCCGCACAGAACGGGGCGCGATCAAATCCGCTGAAGTGTGCCCACCTTTTTCTCACGATGCACCGCGCGTTTATTAATTAGCGAGATAATCGGGAAGAAGGAACCGACGATCGCTAGAACACGAGGAGGAATTCCCACCTGGGAATGACTCCCTCTCGGATAAAGCGGGGCCAGCCGAGTCGGAATTTCGGCCCCGTGTTTAAACCCTTAATTCTACACACTGAGAAAACTATGTTTGGCGTTTGTAATTGTAATCGCGTTGGTGCGAAAAGTTATAGTCGGGAGAATTATTTTTCTTAGCGAACGTTACTACACACGCAGAGAAAAATATAGTTCTACTGCTAAGAAAAGCAATTTACTCAGTTTACTATCCTTCTCTTAAGCAATGGTTATCTATAACGAGAAATATTTTCTGATAATAGTCTAAAAATACGCTCATCACGTACTCTGGAGACTACTAAGTGAAGCATTCGTTCTCTTTTCCAAAATATTACAAAACTTTGTCGAAGTAAAGTTAAATTTGCTTAATTGAAGTATGATCTAATTTTCGTTTTAATTTAATATTCTTGATTGAAATGTTAAGTTTACTAGGGTTTGGAATATGTTATAGCATTTCGACTCGGGTCTTTCCACTCTTGTCGGATTGCCATTTTTATCGGAAATGTCGAGTACTATTCTTCATTCAAAGAAAGTCAAATTTTGCGCGAGAGATGAAAAACCTTCCTCAACTTGCATTCAATGCATTCGGAATATTGATCGCATTTCCCGCCGCTACGTTACGGAGAAATGGTGAACTCTTTCTCTTTCCTCGGGGCTCGTGGAAGAGAGGAAAAGAGAGAAAGAGAGAGAGAGAGAAAGCATTTTCATAATGCGATTCCGGCGAAATATGGATCCCCCCGATCACCGAAACCACCAAACACCCTGTTTATCCCGGCCGTGCGCCCAGGATCCCTCGCGTGTGTGCGACTCGCGAGGCGGTTCGCGTGCGATCGACGCGGTCTGATTTCTCCTTCGAGCGACATCGGTTTCGCTCCCTCATGATACGCGACTTTCCCAGCCCGGAGAGCAATTTCCGAACGCGCGCGCCCACGTCACGTGTTCCATGTGCAAAGGAAGAAAGTATCTTCTTCAGGAATAGATAAATAGATAACGCCTTTATCATCACTTCAGAGGAGCTCGCTCTCCAAGAACCTTATGAGAAAACAAGTAACACTCGTTGACTGCCGTTTCTCATTGATTATTTCAATACTTCATTAAAGTTTGAATCCCACTGAATATACAATTGCAGCAAATAAATGCAATTCATGACGCGTATATCCGCCAGCTCGTTCCATCGGCTCTCCGTTAGCTACATATTTCATTTATTATCTGTGCGATCGGTTTATATGTAAATTAACGAGACGCATCGATCACTGGTGCCTCCCCCCTCCCCATGGTGGTCAACGTGTTAACATTGGTTGCGGTCGTATCACTTCAGATTAATACTCACATCAAGTGTCTTTTTCAAGAAGAGACGGGGAATGGACGAATTAGCCCGTCGACGACATTTCCCACCGGTATTTCCGCGCACGAGCGTGACGGATCGGCGAATATTTCCCGGCAAATTACCCACCCCGTCGGTCCGATTGTCGATCAGTCACGCTTGATACTATTATTTCGCGTTCGTCGATCCGTCGGCCCGCGTAGGTCCATTCTCTCTCTCTCTCTCTCTCTCTCTCTTTCTCTTTCTCTCTTGGTGCGCGCGATTGGCTATGAATCGCGTCGTCGGCCGTTGCGAAACGCGGGTCACGCACTCGCAACGATGACTGCGAGGAGCGGGCATTATCCCCGATCGAGCCCGGCGTCGTTCCTTTCCTCCGTGCCGGCGGGAATCGCTGCCTCGAGATCTTAAAGCCGTTAGCGCAGAGGTTCCCAAACTCGACGCGCTCCTTTCGGTACTCTCGTTCCTCGAGTGGCGGCTCGAACTTTGGACTCGACGTTGCTCTCGACGTCTATAAAAGGCGCGCTCTTTCGCGGATTGTTCCGCCTTACGTAGCGGACGAGGACACACGGGTGTTCCTCCTCCCTCTTCATCCCTCCCCGGTTTTCCCCCGTTTTTGCTTTGTATTTTCGCGGCGGCCAGTTTGGGCACCAATACGCCGATAGGTGAAAGAGCACAATGCGAGAGCGAGCGAGCGAGTAGTCGAGAGTGACTCAGAGTTCGAGTATCCGTGGCACAGAAACTCCACGACGGCCATTGTGGACGCCTTTCTTTCGTCGAGCTTCACAGTCCGCTCATGAAATTTCTAATATCGAAGCACGGCGGACGAGAGTTCACGTTGTGCCGTTAGGAATCGGGCGAGCCCCGACGACGACGTCGCTCGTGTGACGGATTATCCGGGTTCGCCGGTTCCGCCGCCGCGATTTGAGTATCGAGAATGGAAGGGAGAGAGGGGTGGGTCCTTTCGTGGATGTTTCTCTCTGCTCTTTTTTCTTTTTCCGTCCTGGAGATGGCCCAACGCACATCTGTTTTATTACTTGGCTGTTTGAAATGACCGAGAAAGGACATTTGTTCGTAACTTTAAATTGCGAGTTTATATAATTCTTAATTATATATAATAGGTTTCTCTTCTTAAAAATAAGGTTTATTAGCAAAATACATTTCGAAGCAATATGCAGAGGCAGTTTATCCCGTTCCGTCCTTCCTACTAACTAACGCACACCTGTTTTGTTACTTGGCTGCTGCACGAAGAGTCTCTCACGGCCTCTCTATGGTCCCAGTTAATAGTCATTATTTGAAACTTGTCTCACGTGGGACATTCAAATCTGAGTTTAGAGTTAGACGTGGGTTTTCCAGTTGAATCGCGATTACAAGTGTAATGACAGGTACACAGGCCGGCATAATAACTTTAGTACGTATTATAATTAAGTTACCGGTATTTTATAACCGTACACGTTTGCTTTCGGACATTGACGCAAAGCTATTGCGGCGACAGCTTACTAATTTGGCGTATTGTTTCGCTCACGTGCAAATCAATCAATAATCAATAAATAATAAATCAATTATACGCGGTTAGGTAATCCCAATATAACCCAATTACATTACATTCTCCCGATTGATGAATATCGTGTAGTTTAATTTAAAAAACTCAGATTTAATTCCAAATTCAAATCTACGTGTATCAAGTGAGACTGACCAGTTTCCTGTTGCGACTACACTGTAAATCCAAATAGGTTACTTTTATAGACTTCGCTTTAAAAAATGACACGTTTGATTAAAGCTCTTGTTACGTGTTTCTTGTTGTTTCAGGTTACGCCATTTGAAACGTTTAATCGTGTTAAATTATAAGTTAGCACGTCCGATCGTGTCAAATGACGTGATTTAACAAACTGTAACAAATGTATAAGAAAAGCCTCAGCTAAAATAACACAATAGCATCTGTAGCGCACTCACACATGTTAGTCTGTCTCTTTATAAC